TATATATATATATATGATATACACACATACTTTTAGGTGGTACCTCCAACAAATCGATAATTGAGCATACTGGCAATAGTGGCCATAATCTTGAGCACCCAAAATAGCGATGCAGCATCAACGAAGCATCCTGACAAGGAGACTACAACAGGATCCTTGCTATACGAGGATCCCGCAAAGAACCCTAAACCCTGAACCCCCCAAAGAACCCTAAACCCTAAACCCCCGCAAAGCAGACCTTCAACGGTATGAAGTCCCCTGGCAGGCAGCGGACAGCTCCCTCCTCGGATCAGCCCCAGAGGGCTGGAAACGACACGCCCTGCGTGCCTAGATCTCCCGGCAGTACCGTTATTCTCTCTTGTAATTACGGGGTCTCCTTATCAAACCTGGATACTAGAAAAAGGTGGCACACTACGTTTTGGTAAGAGGTTAAGACCCTAAACGTTTACACTCCGAAATACCCTACAACCTATAAAGCCCTAACCACACCTTGAGCCCTAAATCCTAAACCCTTAACCCACCTTGAACCCCAAGGGATTACTTGGGGAACCTAGGCGTAGCTCGTTGCTGCGCGCACTGCTGCGGCGCTTTAGCCATGGAGATTCTGCTGGACCCGGGATACTGTGTTGTGGTTTATCGCTTATTCGCATTGTTATTATTACTTTTACTACTATAAAAGTAAGAATAGAATTGCTTTAATGATGTATATTTAGGCGCCTAGAAGGGCTGTGCCACGGTTTAGAGTTTAGGGTGTTATTACGGGTTTAGGGTTTAGGCACTTTGGTTTTTGGGGGGTTAGAAGGAGTGGGGGTTTCGGGCTTGGGATTCTCAGCTTGGGTTGAGGCCCAGAAAGCTGATGTAAGATTTCGTGAAGGATTTTTTAGGGTAAGGATTGTGACGTGGGTTACCAGAACAATATATACAGTACTGTGGTACATAAGTGATGTGCTTTCCGGTTGGTGATGAGTTAAACTATCCAACTGAGTTTCTTAAGCGCATAATCAAGTTTTTACTTCCTCAGATTTTACAAGGAGTCCTTAGCAAGAGTTCCTTTGCCCGCCAAACACTTTTCTGAATATTTGGCTCTGGGATTAGTCAATCAGGATTCCTTCGTTCAGGCCGCAAGCCTTCCTCGCCAGGGGCAGATTGAGTCCAGAAAATCATCGTCGGGGCACAGGAACAATGCTGCATCTGATCAAGTGTCACTGGACTATACTGGACTGCAAGCTTCAACTTCTCAAAGTAGGCACCCACATGGACAAGTTGCTAGGGGCATCTTTCGAGTTGGCATGGGCAGATACGAAACATGGGCGTTTGCAGCTTGCAGGTGTTTTGAACTCGTGGAAGAAGAAACTGCAAAGGCTAAGCTGTGCAATGAAGAGAGTTCATTCTCGTCTAGTTGGACGGAAGCCCTCATGCCTAACATCCCACATGGCCTCGGTTGAACCCGGAATGGCTTAAGTCCTAGGCCAATGCAGTCAATGCAAGCTTTCAATGCTTGTCTAATGGTAAGAAGACGAATAGCACTGATGATGGTCAGAAGAAGAGAATCATAATCATACTAATAATGTTGCTGTGAATCATTTTGACGTGCCGCCCTCACTCCAATAGGTTGCCATGCCAATGGGGAGTCGTTCGAAGCGACGGTCCTCTGTAGCGATCTCCTCGGACATGTCTGTGGTTTCTCGGGTCCTTAAACGTAATCTGATATCCAGTCTCATCACAGGAGTCAGAACAATAGTAATCGTAGTTCCTTAAAGTCCCTTTATAGTGTTCAGTAAAACTGCCACAAAACGCCTTGTGCCGACTACGAAGGCTTCTAGATAAAGCCGTAAAAACCTTCTAGATTTAGAAACCTAAAACAATGCTTAGAAGCCTCTATTCTGAACCTTGCGGCCCCTAGTCCTACGAAACCCCTGTGGCTCCAAATGCAGGAGTGCCAATCATTACTAACACCTTGAGGTTCCTCCTTGCCAGAATGATAGTGTTACATCCCCCAAACCTCTGTTGAAAGCTTTATAAAGCAACCATATTGCAGTCTGACTGAAATGGCCCTCAAACTTAAGCCAGAAAGACAGCAACAACCCAAAAGGCCGTTGTTTTCGAAGAGCAGGATGGCCTGGCCGTCCTCCTCTTTCTTCTGGCCCTGTCCTTTAGCATGCTCTGCAGATTCCATCTCGCCGCTGCTGGGATCGGCGGTTGCTGTACATTCGGATTTGAGTAGGGTTTAGGGTTTAGGGCATATCGACATATAGGATTTACAGGGCTCTGGATGCAGACTAGAGCCAGAAGGCTTGAAAGTATGACGTCGTTTTAGGATCGACAAGTTGAGTTGAGGGCCTTGGCTTGTACCATTTCTTATGCCATTCATCATAAAACTGCGGCGTTCAAGGTTTCGGGGCTGACAGACTAGATACAAAGGAGCTTCGGGTAGCTCGGAAGATCTTGCAGCCCGACGCCCGCAACACCTGAACCCTAAAAGCCGCAAACACCTACCCCCCGATCCAGGCCGCTACACCCGAAACCCCAAAAGCCGTTCAAAAGGACTAGAGCCCACCGCATAGGAGTCGAACCATTGAACTTCGTTAAACCCCGAAACCCCAGTTCCGAACAGCCGAACCTCGAACCACGAAGGTCCCCATAAGGGTCCTGGAAGGGCGCCACAAGGGTTCTACAAGGGGAGTTCTGTTTCAGGAACCGGGAAGATTTGTGCCCCTAAAGCCAGCATTTGAACGGGCCAAGTGGCCCCAAAAGACAGCACGAGTTTTGAAAAGCTGCGCGCCGAAGACCACGACTTGCTCCAGGACACAGGGCATCGCAAGGCAACAAGTCACTGCACCCAAGACCAAACCGAGCCCCCGGCAGGCGGCAGCCGAGATACACCGTCCGACACACGCATAAGAACATCGACACGGTTCTTCCAAATGTCGATCTTGCTGTAAGGACCTTTAAAGGTATCAGTTGATTTTTCGGGTGCACTCTAGTAGACATGGTTTTTAGTGGCAACGGGCTATAAGGGGATACTATAGTCAGCGTTTTTCAGACCCCTACATTGCTAAGCAAGGCTTAGCTAGTACATCTCAGGCCATAGAACCGTGGTAGACCCTAAATGAATACCCTACTCACTACTTCCCGTGAATCCCAAAGCCCTCTACCTTAAGCCCCTGAACCCCTCCCCCCTAAACCCTAAACCCTCTACGTTACACCCCTAAACCCCTCTCCCCTAAACCCTGAACCCTCTACTTTAATCCCCTAAACCCTAAACCCCTAAGCAGCACATCTCAGGTCTACACAGCCTGTCAAGGCAATGCGGCCTTGTTGCACAACTCGGCTTGTACCGAGGCCCGGTTCACTTAGGGGCTGAGTAGGTAACCTTTAACCCTGTGGGCTTATATAATTCTACTATAACTTGAAAGTTTAGCCTTCTTTGGGCTAGGGTACTCAGCTCCTAAGTTAATGTGCCCTAAACCCTAGACCCTAAGCCCTAAACCCTAAACCAAGGTGCCCTGAACCCTAAATCCTATATTCTGACATCATTCGCTGTTGCTCGCCAGGGTCTCGTCCGGGGCTTGGAGTTCTGGGCCTTTAGGGTTCATCATCTACCTGTAGCCTCCGTAGTAGTTCCTTTTCGAGGTTTTCGTATGGGACCCTAACTATAAAAACCCAAAAAGGAACTACAATGGAGACTATAGGTACGCTTTAGGGCTTTAAGTGTTTCGGGTTTAGGATTTTTGAGTTCCGAGTGCTGATTGTTGGGGGGGCAGTCTCGGGAAAGAGCCGGTGTTTTGTGAGCCTGAGTTCCCCATGAAATGCTCCCTTTTTTGGAGTTTAGGGTTTATGTTTCCAGGTGGTCTTTATGGCTGGGTTTTGAAGGGTTTGGGTTCAGGGTGTAGGGGTCAGTGGCTTTGTGTTTGTGGCTGCTTGACCGTTTTCAGGGTCATGGTCGTGGAGGAAGAAGGCTGGAACTCACTAGCTAGAAGCTTGATTCTTCAGGGGTTTATGCTTTTGTTTTTTATTTTTGGGGGTGCCACACGGTATAGAGCCGGGCTATATAAACCTTCGTCTCCTTCTGTAGCTGTGGAAGTCCGATAGTCCTCTCCCTAGGAGCGCTTCCCCAGCAGAATACGCAGTGGGGGATGGCGGGAGCGCGATGCAGAAGACAAGAAGCACACAGGGTACCGCAGAAACCTCCCTGCGGGGAGCTCGTGGTGAGATGCCTGTATGCTCACCCTGTTGGGGGTTAATTTGCGTTTAGGGCCCAGGGTTTAGGTTTTAAGTCACCACTGAAAGAACTGTAGAACTTGTCCCGGATCCGCCGCGTGCCTGTGCCACTGGAGACTTGCTTCAGAAGTCGCAGTCAACACCGCACCGACCTACATTCTGCCTGGCTTGTTCGAGTTGTGAGAGTGTAAACCGTCAGTCCTGTGCTTTTGAGGCCGTGGAAGAATTCAGCGAGGCCCTGGAGAACTCAGACTTCTTTGCAGGACACAGCTGTGCCGGCGAGGGCATCCTCCTGTGCAGAGATGCAACTGGTTCAAACAGCTTTTTGTGCAGAAGGTTCGGGTTTTTCGGGTGTCGAATGAAGGCCGGCATGTGGGTTCGCGCGAGTGTGTGACTGCCACTGGGCAGCTGTTCGTTTTTGGGCATGAGACGACACGTTTCATAGTTCTGGCAGTTTCGTGTAGAAGGTCTTGTAGCCTCGGTGTGATTTTTAACACGCTCTGGCATGCGTGTGAGTGTAGCGTGCGCAGTGTTCAACCCGCATTACATTATGCAGGTTAACATAGCAGACTTGCATCGAGATCTGAGCAGCTTCCTGGGGGTGCTGCAGGAAAAGCCAGAGAGGCCAGGGTCCCAAGTCCTGAGACGTAAAACCTCCCAAAACCTTGACTCCAAAATCTCAAAGCTCAAAACCATCAAAGCCTCAAGCAGTCCACCCTTACAGCAAAAAGGCCTATGAGCCCTCGAGTCCCATGTGGAGCTTCTATACCCCATAAGCCCCAGGTGAGCGTGAGCAGTACGAAGTGGCCGGTCTTGGTCATGTTTATCCCCATGGCAGGGTCGCTGCTGCCATCTTTGCAAAGTACCCGTTTGTTTCGTTTTGAACTTAGATCCACGGCACCTTGTTAGAGATGTATGAAACATGACACATACTCTCCACGTTGCAGTAAGCAAGTTTCTTGACAAGGCTCCGGTTTTCTGTCGTTGTGGGCTCGTTCGGGTCCTTTATATCCAGGAGACTACGAGCAAGATCTAGCGTCGTGTCCCACGTTTTGTGCAACCTCTTGGTCTGCCGTATAAAACGGGTATGATGAGGTGGCTTCGCAGGATAGCCCTCTGTGAAGCTCTGAAGCACTCAGAGTAAACCATAAGCCCAGAGCTCTCTGCAAGGTCTAGGGTTTAGGGTCCAGGGTCCTGAAGCCGTGAACCCTTACGCCTTCTTCAGCGAAGGTTGACCTGTGTTCTATCGCGGCAGGTCGCGCGGCTGAGCTATAAGGCACAAATGGAAGCTGAAAGAGCAATGTCGGGGGTGTAACACCTACATACACTGCATATACATATAAATCAACATGGTATGATAAACTTGTATGGGTTGGCAATGTCATCTTTATCGTGATGGTAGCTGAGACTGGCATACAAGAGGTCGCTTGGGAAATTGGGCCAAAGCGCCCTTCTCTCAACTACCTCCAGCATACTATCAACCACTTCAGCGCACCACTAGCAAAAGCAAGGTAGGAAATTTAAAATAATTGAATTCCTAATCTCTTCAGCACTGAAAAATTATTGATTTAGAAAGAATTATCAGGCAAAAATTATCTTGCAACTCGAATTTCAAAAGATTCGAAATATATTCTTATAGATATTAGTAATGAAAATATTGAATTATTTATAAAATCCAAAAAATTTAATAAATAGAAATCATTAAAGAAGATTCTTTCCTTATTTTTTATTTCTATTAAATTATATTCGATATTGATACGAGCAAGCTAATCTAGAACGACTAAATATTATGGCACATGCCGTATTATTTATGGAAATATTATTATATCAAATAATCGATTCTGATATGAATTATCTGAAAGAATATATATTTAGATATTTATTAGAATTTATAGAAAAATCATCTCATGCAATTATATTCTTTCTCTCGAATCAATCTTTTCTCTTAGTATTATAATATTGAAGAGGACTTTTAGACTATTATATTTTTATAAAATTCATACGAATATTTCGATATATAATA